TCAGAGCTGATTTCCTTCTTGTGCCAAAGAGCCTCCAAAAAGAGAGAAGGAAAGTGAATGTGCTTGGGGTGTCAAGGGGGGGAGGAAAAATAAAATAAAAGACATTGCAACAGAAAGAGGGCCAAGAAAAATATTTAATCCAAACAATGAACATTGTCATTTCCTCCCACAGTCTGCATTCCCAGTCAACTTCCCTGGGCAAGCAGGGAGAGCCAAGAATGACCGGGCTCTCTGCCTCACCAGCGTGAATGTGTGTAAAGAAAGGGATGTGTCCTGGGGACACGGTGCTGTAGCATCACTTTAGCCAGCTCCTGTCACATCTGTGGCCTTAAGGACTGACAGTTTTCTGCAGGGGAACAGTGGTTTGGAAGGATGTCGGAGGGATTGGGACAGGGATGGGAGGGGGAATTTTCACGGACCCAAGCTGGGGTGGTGGATGTATTGGGGCTTTAAGTGAACCAGATGTTTAAAAATGCTTTGGGCACTCTTCAAGTCCTCACAGGGACCTCCCAGAGCTTTTGGAAAGATCTTGCTAGTGACTGAGGTGGAGAGGAAGGGGAGATATCCGGCAGGGAGAAGCTGCCCTGTGCCTCTCCAAGGGCTACTGCAGCCTGCCCATACTTTCCTTTCCCCACACATCCTGCCTGTTCCTCCTTGCTACGGGCAGCACCTTCACCTGGGACACAGCTTCTCTTGCATGCCTAAGATCCCTGCAGCTGCAGCACTCTCCAGCCCTGGGGCAACTCAGGTTCATGTCCTGTGGTTCTGTGAAGCCTGGTTTGGGCTGACATCCCCCTGCCACCAAAGGGATGGGGTTTCCAACTCATCTTCCCACCACTAAGTGACTCATCCGTCCCAGGAGCAGAATTACCGGTGGTGAAGCTGATGCACAAGGCATGAGTCTGAGGGCAGCAGCAGCTTTTCCAGGGGTGGTGCCTGCCCAAATGGTGGGATCCCTGTTTCTCCAGGGCTGCTTTCAAAGGGACAGCTGAGGAGGGCAAAAGCACATGCATCTTTTCAGCCATGTGGTTGAATTAGCATGCAAATGGTCTGAGCTTGATGCCCAGAATACCAATCCCGAAAGGGAAAAACTAAAGGACTGCAAAATTCATGCTGATTGAGAAGCTCCATGAAAGCAAACTATGGACCCTCCTTGGATGGATCAGCAGGGTCACAAAGCCCAGGACCAGTCTGGGAGAAAGCATTTTGCCTCTTAAGGCTGGGCTTGACTCCCTGAGTCTGGAATCCAGCTTTTCAATAGCTGTGTACAGATAGAAAAGACAAGCACTTTCCATCTCGGTGGCAGATCAGGGGAGTCTTTCAGCTCCTCAGTTACACAGTTGGCCAGGTGAATGTTGATTTTTTGTTTCTTTTTCCACCTTCCTCCAAAGCATCTGGAATGGGGCATGGCCAAAAGCAAGGTGCTGGGTCTTCAGGTGTGCTCAACCAGAGCAAATCATGCATTCCTGGAAAATAATGTGTATCAAAAACCAGCAATGCAGCACTGAAATATGTTCAGCACTGATGTGATCTGTGATTGAGTCTTCATGACCCACCTTTCCCTCACCTGTTGCACCCTTCGGTGGTCTTTCACATTGAATTATACTGTGTAAGGTGGATCTGAAGAAAAATGCCTGGACCCTGCCTGCCTCACTGACGCCACTGGGGACTCCCTGCTGGGCAGGACAACAGCTCCAGGGATGGAGCCAGCCTGGGGACTCTTCAAGGGCTGTGGAAAAATACTGTGCACAGGCACTGCTCCCTGCGTGACATCTCCCAGCATCCTTGAGAGAAACTCCACCACTGAGCACTCGGAGATGCTTCTGGCTGGGATGCGCTGGGATCTAACCAGTCCTTTCTCGCATCCTTCCTTCGCCTGCAATATTTTTTCCTCTTTCATTCTTTTTCCCCTTCAATTTTTTTTTTTTTTTTTTTTTGTCTCTTTTCATCTGTGCCTGCTCCCAGCTTTGAGAGGCTGTGTTTTTTTAGCCTATTTAAATTGCCAAGCACTTGATTTGCCGTTACTATTTTTGTGCCGGCAGCGCAGGGCTCCGGCCCGGCAGTGCCAGATGCTGCACCTCCACGTGCTGACACACGCCCCGCTGAAGCTCCTGTCTGAACAAACAAGGAAGATGGATGGCCGAGCGGGAGAGCCGCTGACACAGCCCGTCTCCCTGGCTGCCTCGGTGGCACGCCGCCTGGCCCAGCAGCTCCCCACCACTCAGCGCAGCGTCGAGCGGCTGCTGCAATTACCTTCTTCATTTTTTCCCTGTTTAGAAGAGACATTTCAACCAGCCCACCGCCCCCCTCTACCCACTGGAGGATGCGTATTCTGGCAGCTGAGACCCAGCTGACCATTTCCCTGGATCACATCCATCGCCTTCACGTGGCACAGCTGGGCATTGGTGTTTTCCTTTTTCTTGACAGCATCTTAAAACATCATCAAGTGTTTTTGCGAGTTGCAGATGTGAGCAAAGCGCCTTTTCCCACCACTGGCATTGCTTTCCGTGGAGCCACACGTCTCAAGGCTGAACAGACTCTGTATGGGGTCTGCTCTCTCACATCACCTGCCCTTAGTAGATCACATTGCCTGTGTCCTCCCTTGCCATGATTCCTGCAAGGCCAAAATGAGACTGATGCAGGTACAAGGGCTCCTGTGCCCTCGAGGATAACCAGCACCTTACTGTGTTCTTTTTGCTTGCAAAGACAAATCCATGTGGAGATTCTCAGTAAGGCACAGGAGTCACCATGTTCTCCAAACACTAGGCAAGGAGCAGGGACAGAAATCCCCAAACCGTGTGCCTGGCTCTCCTGAGCCTCAAGTCCAATTAGTCATTTTTTATTTTCCCTTCATGTGTTTTTCCAATGTAATTTGGAGCATGAGTTGTTAAGTTTCCCCAACAAGTGTTGCCATAGGAGCCTGTATTTGTTTAGGGTGGGGTACGGGCTCTGGCTGGGTGAGAGGAGGGGGCAGTTAGCCCCAGTAGGTGTAGTGAGAGACTGGGAGCCTCTCCTTCTCCATCCTGTCCCTGCCTCTGTCCTCCCCCCACCTTGCACGCAAGCTCTGGAAATCATTTCAGACCTGTGCAGCCGGGATGGGCAAACCTCCCCATAATTGTATGGAAACTACCAAAGCGACGGCTGTTGTTTTGCCAGTGAGTCATGACACATGGAGCGAAGCTCAAGGAAAAACTCCACCGCGTGGAAGGCTGCAAATGCAAATCACACCCAGAAGAGCCTTCCCCTGCCAGCGGCCCTGGCCAGTCCCAACTGCATCCTGGCACCTGCCAGCCCCAACATCCCTGCCCTGGCTCTCCCAGTGCTCAAAGCTGCTTCGAGTGTACGAAACCTTCTTTGATCATAGTCATTTAAGACCCACCTGATGTTTTTAGTAGAAAAGGAGTGTTTAACACTGTTGCCTTGAAGAAACTGTAGCCTGGTCTCCTCTGGATGTGGTTTGCGACAGCAATGATTGGAGTCAAATCCCTTCTTGTTTCTGTGAGCTACCTAATTCGTCTGTGCCTCAATTTCCCAGCTGTAGGAAGGTGTGCTCTTTCTTCTGCTCTTCCAAAATCTTCCAGGCTAATTTGATTTCTCTGTGGCTGCCTGAATTTGGCCTGTGGCCTGTGCTACTGATAGCAGAGACCAGACTTGGTGGTTTGCCATAATCCCTGCTGCTACTTCCTAAAGTGTTATTAGCATGTGTTGAGCCCATTTCTGTTCCTTTTGAGTCACAAGGACAAAAAGCCACATGGGTTCTCTGGTTTTGGCATGGTTTTTTCATGTGAATTACTGGTATTATCACCAGGCCCACATGTTGGCTTTGGCACAGTGGGTGCAGGGCTATTGCGGTGCAGTGACATTTTTCAGCAGGCTTTCATTCAGTTTAAGGGTGCTACATGTGAGTGTCCATCATCACAGGCTGAGTCTGGGCATTTTTTGGGATTTTCGCTATTGTTTGGGGCCAACTAGATCCAATTAAATGGGTCAGCTGCTTCCATGAGCAACAGGATAGTCAGGTTTCCACCAAGAGTCCTCTTCAGTCTGGAGAAGAGAAGACTCTGGGAAGACCTTAAACCACCTTCCAGGACTAAAAGGGGCTACACCAGAGTCAGGGATGGACTTTTGGCAAGGGCAGAGAGTGATAGGATAAGGGGTAGTGCCTTTAAACTGAAAGAGGGTGGGTTTAGACCAGGTATTAGGGGAAAATTTTTGACTCTGAGGGTGGTGGGACACAGGCACAGGTTGTCCAGAGCAATTGTGGCTGCCCCATCCCTGGAAATGTCCAAGACCAGATTGGACAGGGTTTGGACACCTGGTCTAGTGGAAGATGTCCCTGCCCATAGCAGGGGTGTTGGAATGAGGTGGTCTTTAAGGCTCCTTCCAATCAAAACCATTCAATGATTCCAAGATTCTGATGGAAAACCTCCTGGAGGTCAGCCATGGTTGCTGGGCCAGTAAGTACAATCACAGAGCCCGAAGTGAAAGAAGCATTTCATTACTAATCACTCTATGAAGAAATGGCTTCTCCATCCTGTAGCTAGTTCAGTGGCTGCTTGGCAGTGCTGGTGTAGATCTGTGATAAATAAAGCTTGGCTGCTGACCGTCCCTGACGCCTCCTTGTGAGTGCTTCCCGTGCATGGTGCTGGTGGCAGCCGCTGCACGGGACAGCTCCTCGGCCATCGCTGGCTGCCTCGCAGCCCCAGTTGCTTCTTCTCTGATCAGATGACTCATGTAACTAAACAACAATAAACTGGTTTTCTGAATGGCTGCTCATGCCATTTTAACACTTCTGACACAATTCCACGATCCTCTAGCTGCTGCCCTTGGAACACCAGCTGCTCCATCCACACCAGCTGGGATATCTGGTGCCCTTTGTCTTTGAAGAGGGGGTTGTGTACGGTGGAACTGGGCCTTGCTGAGGACCTGGGACCTCTACCTTTGGGGGCAGCCTTCTGCTTTTGAACAACGTTTCACAAAGCCTTCTTCCTGTGCCTTAGCCCTTCCAAGCAGACGGCTGGTGTGACACCATCAACAACCGGGCGTACTGCCAGTACGACGGCGGGGACTGCTGCTCCTCCACGCTGTCCTCCAGGAAGGTAAGAGAGCACCTCCCGAGGCCTTGGCTGGGATCTATGGATTCAGGGGTGACTGCTAGCTATGTTCTTTGGCTCTGCTGGCTGTGGAACCAAGCCTGCAATGTAATTCTCCCATGAACGGAGAACAAACGCACGATTTTAAACCAAAGCCAGCTGAAGCTGATGGACATCATCGCACTGATTAAGAGCTGGGGTTGGACTCGGGCCAGTGTGATTGAAACCTCAGCCCAGCTTCCACTGAGGTTCATGGGATTTCCTCTTGTTTTGGGAAATGTGTCCCAAAGAAATGACTTCCATAGGACATAGTGCTAGACATGGTGAGTCAGAAGTCACCTTGTGTAATTGAGCTGTCTCAGGGGATTTTTGGTATGCTCCACTGGCATCTGCTACAAGTGATGTTTTCCTCCCTCTCTGAAGAGAAAAGGAGGGAAGAATACTATAGAAGGAGCAACTTGGCATTGGGGTTGCACATACCCTTCTTTGTCTCCCATCACAATCTTCCCTCCCACCTAACTTGCTATCCAGCACTCACAGCCCATTCTTCCTAATCATATCCAACAGCAAAACAAATCACAGGGCATGAAATAATTTCTCACTGCAAAAATATGTGAATTTGGATCTTCTCATCTTTGTTGTGGAGCTTGAATCATTTCTCCTTTCATCACGCATACATACACAGAGAAAAGGAAAAATAAAATCCTGGGAAGATCCACTTGAGATAGGAAAGAAGAGGCTTTACACCCAAGTGATGAGTGAAATGCCCACAACAACAGTATCATGACATCTCAGAGCAAGGCATGGCCAAAATAAAGGATGGGTGCACAGTAGAAAGTGTGTGTGTGTGGGGGGGTTCAGTCCCATGGCTCTCAGGAGACCCAGACCCAGCTTACATCCCCCACAGGTCCCAGATCTTTCGCTCAACAAGCCTCCAGCACATCCCTGTTAAGGCAGATGGAGAAATACAGGGTTTAAACATCAAAAAATCCCCAAAGCACTCCAGCCCTTCCTTTGCTGATCCAGTCTGTGAAAAATCAAATGTTTTCACAGTAAGAAAAACTCCTGGCTCTAAGCCTGGTGTGTATAAAACCTCTGAAAAAAACTGTTTTCTCGGCTCCCATGGCTCATTACCAGGCCACTGTCAAACAGGAGTCAGATGCTCAGTGTATGCCCTCCCTCCTTTCTCTGCTGCCACCAGCTAAGGGGACACAGCCTTGCTCGGTCACCTGCAGTTGTTGTAGAGAAAGCAATGTGAAATGAGCCTCCCCACCTGCACGGGGTGTCTCAAAGCTGCACAGCTTCTGAGTGGCCCTGGATGGACCCACTGCCTGCCCCATGGAAGGCTGTTCCTGCTCATGCAGCCTGGCTTTCCTTTATCCACAATGCACACGGACGCGGTGCCTACCTTGGCTGTTATGTCGGGCAGTGTGGAGGTCAGCTTTGCAGTTGAGAGCTTGGCTGAGTTCCTCTAAGAGCTGCAGAAAACAAGGCTATGTTATCTTCATGTTTTGCTGGAAGAGTCGGGAGTACTTGACAGGTCCACAGATTCCCACGTGGATGAAGGGGGTTTTCTAATAGTAAAAAGTAAAACTTTAAAACTAATAGACCAAAGTAAAACTTTAATCTGGAGGTGTCTCACCATTGCCAGGCCTAGTCTGAAGTGTCCCCATCAGGGGACACTTCTTCCCAGGGTTTGACATTTGGGGCACAAGATTCAACCCGACCACTGGCTGCAAAATTTGAAGCATGTTAACGAAAAGGAAAAGGCTGAGAATAGAGCTCAGCCCATTCCTCGGTGAGCGCAGAGCGTGGCAGCGCCAAGGTGAGAGCAGTGCCCACATCGCCCGTCCAGCAGGGAGGACAGAGGGGCACAGGGGTGTCGCAGGCGGAGGCTGAGCTGTCCCTTTGTCCCCCAGGTGATCCCGTTTGCTGCTGACTGCGACCAGGACGAGTGCACGTGCCGCGACCCGGCGGCCGAGGAGAACCAGTAGCGGCGCCGTGAGGGGCCTGTCCGGGTCAGGCAGCGCCGGGGGAGCCGAGGTGCAGCAGCGGGGCCGCGGCGAGGGCAGGAGCGTGAGGGAGAGCCGGCGGGCATGGCGGCATGGCGAGCTCCAGGCCACCCGGAGCCCAGCAGCCAGGGCGTGCGGCCCCCTCCCATCGCTGCTCCCTCCAGCTGGGCCGGGCTCTGGTGCCGCCTCAGCCACAGCCGGGCCAGGGGCCAGCCACGCCGGGAGCCCACGTGCTGCCATGGATGTTCGGTCCTGGCCCGGCTCCTGGGCGTCCGTCTTTGTCACTATTCACCCCTCTCTGCTGTACAGACTTCTTTTAGCAAGGTCGAGGTAGTCGTGATCTCTCTGCAAATATTTAAACTTAATTATATCTATATACATATATATATATAATATATATATATAAATATATATTATATTTTCTTTGCTCTTGATGAAGCTGAGAAAGGATATCCTTTATCACACACCCATGCTGCTGTGAAGTACAAACCATTGGGAAAAGCACAGGTCAGGGCAGGAGGAGCAGGGATTTTCCCCTTCCTTGCTGAGCTGGAAGGAGGACAGAGAGAGAGGTCAAACATCCAGGCCATGCCAGGAGAGAGATCCCCGGGCAGGGAGGCTCCCACCTCAAGCTGGTTTGGGCATCCGGCACAGACCAAGTTTTGCCCTTGGTATTTGCCAGTGCTTTGCCTTGTTCTTCTTAGGGTGTGGATCTGGATCAGGATCCTGGGGTTGAGAAAAAATGTTATTGTGCCCTTGAATCATCCCAGTGAGCACAACAGATTCCAAGGGTACCACAGGCATCCATCACACATTATTTTAGAGCCCTCTGGGCAGGGTTATGTGTCCATGGGGATCACTGCATGGTCAATAGGGGCAAAGACTCAGCATGCTCCCTCTCTGTCTCACTCCCCCAGCCACTGCACACCCAGCTGGATGTAGAGGCCAAACCAGTGGAGCTGTGTGATGCTTGAATGAAGGTGGTCCTTCTTCTCTTTCCCCCACGTCTGAGCTCCAACTGAGTTGTGTTGTCAGCAGCTCTCAGAGGAGACTAGACCCTGTAATGCCAAAAGGACCAAAAAAAAAAAAAAAAAAAAAAAAAAACAAAAAAAAAAAAAAAAAAAAAAAAAAAAAACCTGTCAGGAGAATTTGAGAATTATCTTTTCTTATTGAGATTTTCCTTAGTATTAGTATTCCTTATTATGATCTCTGTCCCAGCCCCTGATGCTGGACATACATTTGCTGACTTCCAAGAGGCTCTTGCCCCTGTAGGCACTCAGTGAAAATCTACAGATTCAATTCTGGCCTCAAAGAAGCCCAGCAAGAAACTCTTCTCCCCATAATTGATTCCCAGGAGCTCAGCTTGGACCCAGCCACATAAAGGCAGCAATAGGGAAAGTGCCTGTCTCCAGCTGGGATTATCACTGATGGTTTTGTGCTGTAAAGAGGCAGAGAGAAGGGATAGAAAGAGGAAAGGAGGGCAGAGAAGGGACCACAGAGTAGGAACTCATGGCAGTGTCCCCAGGTGAGCTGCAGGCTGGGAGCAAAGGACTCCAGGCTATGTCCTGCCTGCATGGCCCCTGCTGTTGGAGACAGGCTTCAAGCCAGAGTTTGTCTGGTGAAGGAGTGGTGGAGAGAGGGTGACACGGTGTGGAGAGACCAGGAATTTTCAAGGCATCGTTAAGAACAATGCACCATTGAAAACAATTTCCACTAGCTCTACCCCATCCTATTTTGTCTGGAATTTCCTATGGTTGTGTTTTCCTGGAGGACCCGAGTAGGGGCAGAGGTGCTTGGACATCCTACCAGCATCCATGCAGGAGATGCCTTGTCCTTCTCCAAGCACTTTCCTGACCCCAAGTGTTCCCATCCACCTGGCTTAGGCAGAGATTTGAAGAGAGGTGGGGGACAATGAGCCCCATCTCCTCTTGGGACACTGACATTTTTGTTCTCATCATGCACAAGTGACACTGCCCCAGAATTCACTGTCAGCTGGGCAGATAGCAGCAATATCTTGTCAGATATTCACTTTTCAATTAAAAAACAACCCTCAAGCAACCCAAGGAAATTCAAATGTGGATGTGCAGCTTGGGCAGCCTGTCCTGCTCCACCAGTGCAGGAAAGGGGAGATCCAGGGGTCCCAACACAGAAGTGGGGCTCTGGCAGCCCCCCACAGGTGGGGACAGTGGGGATATGGGATGAACATGACACACAGAAGCAGAATTTCAAGCACCCAGCATTTTGCCGTGACAAATCCTTCCTTGCCTGGTGTCAGCATTACCTGGATGCCTATGTGTTTATATACCAAATTTGTATCCTTTTGGCATGAAAATCCTGGTTTTTTCCTCTGCTCACCTGTGTGTGTGCAGGGAAGGGACTGCACCCCATGGACAGGGGAACTGGGGGGGTGGGGCAGGAAGTGCTGGCTTGGATGGTAGACATTTGTGCTTCTTATGACCAGACACAGCTTCTACGTACAGAAATATTGTTCTTCTATAGCGACACTGAGCGGTTTTTGTCCCCTTTAGGGTTTTATTCACAATGGAGGCTGCTGCTATTTTTATTTTTTTGTATTTGATAATTATTTTTTATAAAAATCTATGAAAAATAAATAATCTTCTCATCCTCCAACTCTCTTGCCTCCTTGATTCACCCAAAAGGGCCAGGGAGGTGGTTTGGCCGGATATATTCTTCTCTTTCCAAACCACAGACTCTCCCAGAACAGTCAGAGCCCAATTGGAGTTTTCCTTTGGTTTTTGGGGTGTGAGGGGACACTCACCTCCAATGCCACTCCCTAATTCAAGGTTGGCACCCAGGCAGCTTCTGCTGTGCCACCAGCTGCAAGAACACTTTTGCAGAAGGTCTTCTGCTGGTTATGCTACAAACTGGTCACTTTCTATAATTAGTCCACTTAAAATGGAGGGAAATGTGTGTGTGTGTGTGTGTGTGTGTGTGTTTTCACATCCCTGGGGATGGGGAGCAGAAGGTGGCCCACACTAGAGCCAGAGGACCATGCGGTATCCTGGCAAGAAAGTTAAAACCCAAAACAATTAAGCTGCTTTAATGTTTGGGGTTTTTTGTTTTGTTTTGTTTTGGTTTGGTTTTTTTAAGTGACCAGGTACATTTTGTATCTGTGGTCTGAGAAACACCAAAAATACCTTGCCCTGTGTTTAAACTTCACTCTTCTTCCTCCAGCCATCTCTGATGCATCATGTCTGGTCTTTGCACAGAAACTAGGTCCCAGAGGAGGAACAGCATCTCCTGGTGACATCAAATGTCCTCTCTAGGGCAACACTCCCCAAATCAGGCACTCTGGAGAAGAGCCAACAGCAACCCTTCCAACACACACACATATTACCAAACCCTTCCTAAAAACCTACCAGTGTGCTGGTGGAGCACCCCTTGGTCCACTTCACCCTTTTCTGGGGTGGCTTTCTCCAAACCCACACGGACTGCAAGCCACATGACCCCTGAGAAGATTTTGTGATGAGCCAGCTGTACTGAGATATTGACACAGCAGTTTAGGCTTGTAGCTGCACACCCTGCTGCCACACAGACCTCTCCTCTTCCTCCTCCTCCTCCTCCTCCATCTCACTCTATAGCCACAGCTTACTGTGCAATGAGATGGTGGTTAACTGCATGGAAAATAGCAGAAGGAAAGTATTGGGTGTATTTTTAGCTTATTTTCCTGCAATTTAGCACTGGGAAAAGAAAGAAAAAAAAAATCAAGTTGTTCCATGAGACTTGATGAAGTCTGGTTTCCTATGGATTCGTGTGCTATAGCCCCTAAATCCCCTCTGTGTCCTCCCAAGTGCCCTGCCTGTCTGCCTGTCTGTCTGCCCAGGCTCTCCCTGGGTCTTCCACCCATCTGGCAGGACAGGTGGCAACACACACCAGGCTTGGCCAGGGACCTGCCCTTGTAAGTGCTGATGGCCTGAGCATTAGACACAACACAGCACTGTGAGTGGCTTTTGGCATCCTTTGCAGATCTCACCTCTGTTCAGGCACTGGCTTTCACATTCTTTGTGGGACATTAATATTCGTGTTGCTTGCTGCTAGTCCTCTTGTCAAAAGTCTGCCAGATGGACCAGGACATTCTCCAGGGGCGATTGACCACCAGACAGAACCAGCACCATCCCGTCCACCTTATATACCAAAAGAATGGCTAAAAGGTGGGTAAAACCCACCTTATATTAAAAAAAAAAAAAAAAAAAAGGGATTTTTTGGACTCTGCTTCCAAGTTCCCAGTCTCTGTGGAGGTTTGCAAATAAGGGCTGAGAGACCCTTGCTGAGGATGTGTAAATGCAGGTTTTCCCCCAAAAAAGGGATGACTGGAGAAATCTTTACCTTTTCTCATCCAGCAGAGCAGGTGGGCAGGATGAGGCGCAGGACTCGGCTTCATCTGTGTCTGCTGAGTGGTTTGGGACTTGGCTAACCCAGTGGGCAGACAGGCTAATGCTAAACTTGTGTGAAGACTCACCCCAGTTCAAAGGCTGGGACTGTTTCATCTGCAACCAAAGATGACATCAACTGGACCAAAACTATAAACAAACACTCCAGTTTGCCAGAGCCAGGGATTACTAACAGCTCCGTTTAATAGTCAGTTAAATTATCATCTGGAGTTTTACATAGTGGTACAATGATTTTTGTTGCTGTTGTTTAAAACCTTTTATTTTATTCTTTTTTTTTTTTAAGTAATCCAGAAGGGCTTTGTATTTCTTGCCACATGGCTATCTCACCCTAAAGCACCCTACTTTCAATCTACAGTAGTAAAACGTCACATTAGAGTTTTAATAGAACATCAAGGAACATGAATTGTAGCCATCTTTGTAAAGAAAAGGACCAAACTGTCTTTATATGTTAAATAACTCCACGACAAGGAAAAGGTAGTAATGCTATTACAGGGGTACGGACGCAGCAAAGAAAAGTTAACGACCCAGAGGTTCATCTCAGGTGAATGATTGCTCATTAATTCAAAATAA